TTTGGGGGTTTTGATTATTTTTATTTTTGTCAAATGAAAAATGTAGTTATTTGAATTATTGCTTCTTTTCAAGTATTATATCATTTACATTTCAAAGTTTTTCTTTTAGGTTTCAGCAGTTCGATTACAATATATCTGGGTATGAGTATTTTTGAGTTTATTTAGTGTTTAAGGAGCTTATTGAACTTGTGAGTTTATATCTCTTGTCAAATATGGGAATTTTTCATCGATATTTCTTCCAATAATTTTTTTGCCGTTAACTCTGTCTAAGAATAGTATTTCTTCTGGTATTGTTCCATAGGCTCCTGAGTTTCTCTCTGTTTCCTCTTTTTCACTTGTTTTTCTCTCTGTTCTTCAGACTGGATATTTTATATTGACTTATACTCAAGTTTCATACTTTTCCTCTATCTTTATTCCATGTTTGAACTCATTCAGTGAGGGTTTCCACCCCTGAATTCAGATTATTGTTTTTACAGTTCTAAAATGTACATTTGGTTCTTTATATCTTCTTCTTTGGTAACATTGTCTTTTTTTTTTTTTTCATTGAAGTATGTTTTCCATTACTTGTTGGAGCATTTTTATAATAGTTGCTTTTAAAGTCTTTACTTGATAATTCCAGGATCTGTGTCATCTCAGTGTTGGTGTCTGTGAACATCTTTTTTTCATGTAAGTTTAGATTTTCTTGGGTCTTTGTATGCTTTGTACTGTTGGTTTTTATCCTGAGTATGTTGAATATTATATTATGAGACATTGGGCCTTATTTAAATCCTATGGAAGTGGTTGGTATTTTTGTTTTAGCAAGCAGTCAGGCTTGAGTTTCTCACCTTTCTTCTGTGGCTCATTTATTTAATACCAGTTCTGTTGCTAAAGGCTTTGCAGCAGTAGTTGGATATGACCCATGTGTGTATCCAATCTGGGACCCGGGCAGTTCTCAAAGCTTATGGAATCTGCTTAGGGTGAAATGTGCACAAGCAGGTAAGTCCGGGAGGTCATAGAAAATACTACAAGGGGTCATTTCCCCAAATTCTTTCCTCTTTGGGATCCTCAAAGTAATTTTGGTTTCCTAAGATCCCTCCCTTCCTCTTTTTTGTGTCCTCCACCCAGAAAGTTGATTCTTTCTTTTATTTTTTTTAATTAGATTTATTTTTAAATTTCGGATTTCTTTTAAACCCCATTCATGTGCTTCTGGTACTGAGTCCACGTTTGGGGCCAGGTGGCAAGAACAGAGGAGAGAAGTAAAGCAACTGGGGGATTTGTCGGCTCCTCCTCTTGGACCGTACTGTCTCAGCTCATAAAGGACCATTTCCCTCTGTTAGATCTTGGGTGTGGATCCAACCACTGTTAGATCCACAGTGGTCTCTGCTGTTGCATTGATGCTGAGGTCACTAACACTGCCCTGAGATTGCCTAGAGACTGCAGCATCAGACAGATTAAATAAGAAAGAAAAAAAAAAAAAGAGCAAGAGCAGAACAGCAGTAGGGATTTTCCTCCCTCACTCCTGCTTCTTGAGACAAAACTAGCAGGCTTCTCCTGGGTCTCTCTAGGTCTGTACAGGGGTCCAGTTCTGGACTCTGGGATGCCTCGAATCCACACCAGTGTATACTGGTGATGCTTTAAATTCTGGGATTTTTTTTGTTTTGTTTTTTTATTTGTTTTTGGGACGGAGTCTCGCTCTGATGCCCTGGGTAGATTGCTGTGCACCACAGCTCACAGCAACCTCAATCTCTTGAGTTCAAGAGATCCTCTTGCCTCTACCTCCAGAGTAGCTGAGACCTACAGGCATGTGCCATAGCACCAGCTGATTTTCTTTTCTTTTCTTTTCTTTTTTTTTTTGAGACAGAGTCTTACTTTATTGCCCTTGGTAGAGTGCCATGGCGTCACAGCTCACAGCAACCTCCAGCTCTTGGGATTAGGCGATTCTTTTGCCTCAGCGTCCTGAGTAGCTTGCACTACAGGCCCCTGCCATGATGCCCAGCTATTTTTTCTTGCAGTTTGGCTGGGGCCAGGGCTGGGTTTGAACCCTCCACCCTCAGTATATGGGGCCGGTGCCCCACTCACTGAGCCACAGGAGCCACCCTGATTTTTCTATTTTTAATAGAGATGGTGTCTCACTCCTGTTCAGGCTAGTCTCGAACTCCTGAGTTCAAGCAATCCACTCACCTCGGCCTCCCAGAGCACGAGGCTTACAGGTGTGAGCCAACATGACTGGCTTATTCTGGCCTTCTGTCTCACTCCGCCTGCTACAAGTAACTTCTGAGAGACCTCAGATAGCTCTGCATGCACCCTCTGGGGGGAGGCAGGGTGAAGTGAGTTCACTCTCCATCTTATCAAGAACCAAAGCCTTACCTCCCACTTCACTTATTGTATTGTGGCAAAATACCATTTTTATTATTTTTAAGTATACAGTTGCATGGTATTTAGTATATTCACGAGGTTGGACCACTATCCTTATTCAGTTTAAGACTCTTTTTTTTTTTTTATCATCCCAAATAGAAACTCTATATCTTTCAGGCTGTTACTTCCCCATTTCTACCCCAAATTCACTGCCGACCGGTAATCTCTCTCTGTCTCTAGGAATTTGCCCACTTCCTTTTTAGTTTATGAAGAAAATTTACATAAAAGAAAGTCACCTATTTCAAGTATAGAATTCAATGTGGGGATTTGTGTATGTGTATTTATAAAATTGTACCATTTTTCTTTTTAATATTTTGGAATATTTATTCCCAGTTTTTTTCTCTTTAGCTAGTTCTATTTCTCTCCCTTTTCTTTAATGACTGATTTCACTGTTTAAGACAAAATTGGAGACTTTTGTAGCTTTTCTTTACATAGCAACTCCTTAGCATTTCCGAGGTCTTTCTCTTTTTTAAAAGCAAGGTTCTAAATGCTGTATGTTGTGCCATCATATCAGTATATTATAACTTAGTTTCCCCATTATCAGACATTGTAATGTTCATAGTTTCTTTTTTCATAAGTAAATGTTGTGATTAATTGACATTACTAGTAAATAAACATTTGTGCACATCTTTGCTAATTTTCTTATGAGCAATTCTTAGAGGTGATATTTCTCAGTTAAAGGGCATAGGACAGTGATGACTTATAGATTTGGACCTGGTGCATCCTACATAAAGAGTCTTTGTTTTTGTTTTGGATAAAAGTAAAAAGAAACTTTCAATACAATATGTAAAAAATATACATCAAAAGTTGGTTCCTAAACCTCAATATCCCTTAGTTAAAATTTCAGTAACTTGAGGTATACTGTCAGGTATTGGGTGTTGTTTCATGGGTTAGAAAGGTACAGAATAAATAGTGAATGCAATCCTAAATTTTATTTCGGCCTCGTCATTTTAGGGGGTAGAGTCTACCAGTTCACAAATAGGTAAAGTGACCATGTATCCTAGTTTGCCTTGAATGCCTCATTTTGTATCTGTGTCCTTGGGATAATCATTTAATACCACCCCATGAGGCTGATGCAATAACTCAAGCCTATAATCCTAGCACTCTGGAAGGCAGAGGAGGGTGGATTGCTTGAGCTCAGGAGTTCAAGACCAGCCTGAGCCAAAGCAAAACCCTGCTTCTAAAAACAGCCACACGTTGTGGCAGGAACTTGTAGTCCTAGCTACTCAGGAGGCTGAGGCAAGAGGATTGCTTTAGCTCAAGAGTTTGAGGTTGCTGTGAGCTATGACTCTAGGGCACTCTACTGAGGGCAACACAGTGAGACTGTGTCTCAAAAAACAAACAAACAAAAAGCCATCCCATGCATTTCCCTTAACTCTCATATTTTTTCTTGTTTGGATGATAAATTATATGCTCACTCTGAAGAAGCATCCTTAGATGTTACAGAAGGATGCTGGTAGGGCCAGGATAATCAGTTCATGGCATACAAGTGCAGATGATTAAGTTTGATCGCTCATCCTAGGAAAAGGACTATATACCTCATTGCTAAATATCACCATGGTCGGGCGGCGCCTGTGGCTCAAGGAGTAGGGCGTTGGCTCCATGTACCAGACGTCATGGGTTCAAACCTGGCTCTAGCCAAAAACTGCAAATAAAAATTAAAAATAAATAAATAAATACCCCCATGGTCTCTTTAGAGGTCACACTCCCCTTGGGCAGCTGTGCCCCGATACCAACACCTTGCCTACCCTTCAAAGCAATTTTGGAAGATTTTTTCCTGTGATGGCCATCAGACCTGTCATCATATGAAAATTAAGTTCACAAATTTATCCCCGAAAAAGTACCTCACTGCTGAACATCACTACAGTTACCAGATGGCCACAGGGGGGAACTTTGAAGGTGACTGTAGTGACAGTCAGCAATGAGGATTTGTACTTCTGTTTCTAGGATGAGTTCACGAACTTAATTGTCAGGCCTTGTATGCATTGCTAATCTCTCCTACTTGATCTTATGGCAGCTATTGCACACTGATCAGGGTTAGTTTCTCCAATAAATGGATTGATCTCAGAATCTTCCCCAACACAGTCCTATGGGGACTTATTACCACCCAAACAGATCTGGACCATGCAGTGCAACCCATTGGTCAAGGCATAGTGTAGGTGACAGTGCTGGCCCTTCACATTGGAGAAGACACTCCAGCGCCTCACCATCTCTACCCAGTGGGCCTTTAGGGAGGAATACCTGTATACCTGTAACTGTTAGGGCAAGCATGGGTTTTCATGCCAAGAAGGGAGCTCGTACCCTGGGCAGATTTTGCCTCCATCCCCTCTCATCTCCTTCTGTCCTCATCCCCTTCCATTCTCTCACCCATCCTAGCTGTGTTTCTCAGTCACACACTTGAAACTCTTAGTGAATCTTGGGCTATGGAAACCTGAAGAAAATTAGATACATAATAAAAAAAATCAACAAATAAATAAATACATAATCAATTATCTTTGGTGTTTCTTTGAGCCGAGTGATTGAAAAGTCACATTCAATTTCCTTTCATATTTTTTTCTTATGCAGAACTTTTCTGACTTTTCTCCTTCATTTTCTTTCCCTTGTAGGTTTCGAGACAACAGATGAATTGTGAAAGAGAGCAGCTAAGGGTAGGTGAACCTGCTTGTGCAAAGCTTCCTGTTTCTCATTTCTGTCTGATAAGCAAAAATTTCCTTGTCTCTCCCAAGACACAGGTTCTAAATAACAGCCTTCATCTGAAGACGAGTAGAGTTGAAAATATTTATCCCAGCTAATTTAGTATTGATTGAGCTGGTAAATACAGTATATCTTCTTTTGAAGTGCCATTATAGCAGATATGGATTTTTTGATTTAGATTCAGCAATAAATACTTCTCTTCTGGAATTTGTTTGACGTTATTGTACTCTTTTTATGTACAACATGAGGCCTAAGTAATAACAAAGGTCAAAAGGATGTCGGGCTGCCTCCTGAATGTGAATACCAGGCGGTTTGCTGAGTGGCTAAAATGCTCTCTTGCCGTTGGCTGGGGTGGGTGAGGTGGACTAGGTCAAGGGCGTTTTCTAGGAGAATTCACGTCATCCATAGACCTTTGGGTTTAGTGGCATTTGTGTTTGTGTTTGTGGGAGCAGGAGACAGAATTTTAAACCTCATATTCTATTCCTCTACTTAAAAATGCAACTGTCTCAGCATTCAAGTATATTAAGTGTAAAATTGTTCCCGAGATGAGGAGGGAATGGTTTGCTTATACGTGGAGGTTGGTGGCATTGTTCTGCTTTTACGGTGCCTGGGTGGACGTTCTTCTTGGCATGGGGATGACATTTGACTCCATCCTTGGGTGGATTCTCCCCCCTCCGCCATTTGCTTCCTTCTTAAATGCATTTGTATTTGGGGTGGTTGAGTTTGGAGTTATGTTGTGGCTTATCTTTAAGGTGACTGATGGAAGTGTGACATTTTTATTGAATGATGTGCGTCATAGTCATGCCTCCGAATTGTCATAAAAACTGGAGGAATCTACTTCTTTTGAAAATCACAACAGGGAGTTTGGAGAGAGGGGTGTCGTGGGACCACTGTACTCAAAGGTGTCAAATAAACACAAATAATTTATTAAATGATCCTAATGCCTTTATACACTGCCTTGTAACTTTCAAGAGCATCAGCATCGCCCAGAGTAGTCTCAAGATGGCATGGATTTAGAGTTTTTCCATCTCACAATTACCTTTGGTATCAGGTTTGTGAAGTCCTTCGGTAAAACAAACAGCAGAATCCAGTCACCTAGAGCCGAGAAAGGGAGTGATGTTTACTCTTTCTTTTATGCATATTTATTTCATGGGCTATTCCAGGATAGCCTCTCTGTTCACCTCTCATCTCCCCCCACTTGGCTCCCCAGCACTGTACCAACAGTAGCTGTGACTCCTTCCTTCATGAAGCAGCCTTCAAGATGTTTTAGGCTTTTGTGAGCTCTCTTGTTGCTTTTTTTTTTTTTTTTTTTTTTACCCCTGCAGTCTGAATTACTGGTTCATCCCAGTAAATAATGTATTGCAACTTCAGATTTCTCTTCCTGTTTGGATGAGGAAGATGGCCAGAACTAGGTCAGAGCTAGGTAATAGATAAAGAGGAATGTGGGCCTTTGTCTCTGGGAGCCCCTGATAAATTCCTGAGGATTAAGATAATATTGAAACCTCTTTTGCAAATGACTCTCACCTGGCAAATTAAGCACACAGGAGGCAATGAAGTGCTTGTTGACGATATGAAGGATTGCTTCTCATCGATGAAGACATTGTCTATAGAGGGGTTTGCTTTAGGTACAGAAGTGGAGCCCTCCCCTCTCTGTTCAATAAATCCAGACAGTGGTTTGATGATATTGAGTTTGGTCCCAAGTGTGGCACCCACAAGCCCCAAATAAGACCAACTCTAGCTTCCTGAGCTGGGTGGAGGCTTTGCTTGTTTGTCACTGCTGTTGTAGTCACTGTTTTTGCATTTTAAACTAATTTATGTTTTGAATTAACAGATAACACATTTGGTTGCATAGAACACACATTTATGTGGTTCAAAATTTAAATGATCCTATAGGGAACGTAAAGAAGCCTTCCCTTCCCACCGAGTCAGGCATCCAGGCTCCTCTGGGGGAGCCCCAGTGTCACGGTGCGCTGGTGGGCATCTCACAGGCTGCTATTTCTTCAGCCCACTCCCCTTCTGGTCTCTACCTCCTGCCTTTCTCTCTTGTTTCCTCCCTCTCTCCTTTCCTTTTTCTCCCATGTGTGTGTCAACCCTCAAACGAAAACCTCATTTATTGAAGTGATTGTTTCGTTTGCGTGTAGGGGTTTCTCTGCTTTTAGAGTTTTTGAAAGAAATTTAAAAATAAAATGCTAATGCCTGGCTGTCTCAATGAAATGCATTTTCCTGAATCTCATCTTGTTTTCTTAGAAAGAGAGAAACTGGAAGAAAAAGAGAAATCTACTTGGTGTAGCAACATCATTGGGGGGCATCTACCTGCCAGCCACAATTAAAACATGTTGTAAATGCAGCAGGCAAACTGCATCTCCACATTTGCTGTACAGGATGCTTGGGCGAGGGTCGTGTCATCCAGTTTAGATCCCTTTGTTAGTGCATTCTGTGGTGTTGTCAGAATTCAGAGGTACAAGTAGGTTGTTGTAAAATGTATTCCTTTTCCTTGGCCTCCTGGAAACAGCAAGTGATGCAGGAAGATAAAGCTGCCCTTTCTGTTTTGCGCCCATTCTGGTTTTTCTGACACCGTGTAAGGATTGGCTCATCCGACAGCTCCTCTTTCTGAGCTCCTTTCTTTTTCTCACAAACCCTGAATGAATTCTCTTTCCAAAATGGATTCGGTGAAGTGCTTGCTCTGTAAAATACTAAGAAGTCCAATAAGAAATGTAAGATTAATTAATTTTAGTAAATACAAAGCTAAAGAAAGTCAAATATTCTTTTAAACAGCAGAACGCTTCAAACTCTCTAATATATAAAGTGAAATACCAGATAGATGGATCTAATGTACAACCGTCTTTCAAACTCAGTTGACTACAGAACATTTTTGGTTGTAGAACATACTCCAAGAAATACTTTTTTTTTTTT